CTCCTCCATTCTCCTCTTGGGATCTTGGGCATGCATGCACACGCGCCCGGCATGAGTTTTAAGCCACCAGGTCCGGGACGCAAACTGCGGTCAACTACGTGGGAGTCCAGCGACATAGCCATTACGCTAACTGCTGGTTCCCAAGCAACACATTTTATAGCCCAGTGACATTCTTGGGGTATACTAGGATCACAGTAAGAAGGGACAGCAATCATGTTACAGCTCCCATTAAAAAAGTGAAAACAGGGGAACCAGCAGTTAGCCACCAGGTCCAGGACGCGAATCGCGGTCGACTACGTGGGAGTCCAGCGACATAGCCATTACACCAACTGCTGGTTCCCAACAATTATCTTTTTTTTAAAAGAATTATTTTATTTAACTTTATTTATTATTATTATTATCATTATTATTTTCCAGTTTAATCAGAGAGACACACACACAGAGAGAGAGAGAGAGAGAGAGAGAGAGGAAGTGAGAAAGCAAGCCACCAGGTCTGAGACTTGAACCGTGGTTGGCCATGTGGGAGTCCAGCGCCTTTAACCACGATGCCACTTGCCGGCCCCAACAATCATCTTTGAACTCATAGGTGGAAGTCTCTATGGCTGTTTGTTGTCCAATCATCTTTGAACTCATAGGTGGAAGTCTCTATGGCTGTTTGTTGTCAAACATTTCATGAGATGATTTTTTTATAACATACATTATTCAGAAATGGATTATGGCCCAAACACTGATGAGTAAATCATCCGTTTAGAATGACTTGGAACTCAGAGGGCATGCTCCCCAAGGAAATTATAATAGCTATAATTTTTAGGTCAGCTACTAAAAGCCTGTCTGAACTGAACTGCAACTATTGACTGGTCTGAAAAGTCATGAGGCATATCTGCATAGGAAACACAGAAAAATACATCATGACTTCTCCAAAGACCCAATAAAGGACGGCCTCGTCACCAGGGAAACGTGATGTGTACAGAAAAATCCTGTCTGGCTGCAACCCCGCCCAGCTGGGACCATCCTGCCATGCTCATCTCTGCCCCAGGTATGCAGAACTTGGCCGGAGCTTTCTTCATGCAGTGGCTCTTCCTTTGATAACGTCTTCTATCTCCTTATTACCAGAAATGCCCCTGGAAGGAAAGGGCTTGCGGTCTCTTTCTGTGTACATTCAGCCCTCCAGAGGGCTGCTATTCTGCAAATGCCCATGGGTATATCTCCTGGTATGTGTATGTCTGAACTAGCTACACAATTTGTGGGCTCTGTGCCAAATGGAATGGCAGGGCCTGTTGTTCAGAAAGTGAGAAGAAGGCCCAGGGTCTGGTATAGCCGGGAGCACACCGAACTGTGCTGCTGGAATCCACGTGGAGACTGCGGTCGGAATCCCCAGTCCATCGGAGTGAAACATGCACATGTATGCCCAGGATCCTGGCGGGCTGGGGGCCTGGAGAAGGGATTGCAGAGTGACCAGACCTCGGGGGAAACACAGACACCCAATACTTGCCCTCACTCTCAAGGGAGAAACAAGGGCTGTCCCGTGCAGTTGGGAGCACATGGGATACAAGAGGTTCTGGCTGTAACAGCTCCTATAGAAACGGGCTCCAGAGAGGAGGTGGAAGATGCTCTGGGGACCTCAGATGACATGGGGACTCCAGCAGCAAAGAAGAAAGGAGATAGGGATGTGTCCCAGGGGTCGATTGCACCAGGCTAGTGCTGTGTGCTGGATGGGGCTATGTCATTTATGGATCCTGGACAGAATGCAAGTTCAGGGTCCCCTGTTCACAAGGGGGAAGAAGGCCCAGCTTCTGTGGCATAGTTGGGAGCATTCAGAGCTGCAGTGTGAGACCTCACACGGTGATTGTGGTTTGCATCCCCTGCCTGGTTGGCCTGAAACATGCAGGTTGTGTGTGCACGCGTGCCCAAGGTCCCAGTGGGCTACAGAGCTGCAGGAAGGGATCACGGCATGACTTACTCTGTGGACGGTGTTTATCTATCTCTTGTACACACACATGCACACCATATGCACCATGAGGAATAAAGAAAAAACAAAAAAGGCGACTAGCACTTAGCATAATGGCTATGTCGCTGGACTCCCACGTAGTCGACCGTGGTTCAAGTCCCAGACCTGGTGGCTTAAACTCACACTGGGTGCATGTGCATGCGTGCCCAAGATCCCGAGAGGAGAATGGAGAAGAAGGGATTGCAGCATGGCCATCTCCCCTGCGGGGTGATTTCTCGCTCTCTGTCTCTCTGTCTCTCTTTGTCCCTCTGGCAAGTGCACGTGCCCTATAGCAAAAACCTCTAAAAAAGAAGAAAAAAAAAAAAGTAGAGAATTTCAAGAGCATTAAGTCAGGCACATTGCCCGTTTGACCGTGGGGCCAGGTGCAAATGCTCAGGTCACACAAGTATGAAGGGGCCCCTGCTATGCACCCTCAGGCATGGGATCTCATTTCATTCCCTCACAACTGCTTCTCGTAAAGATGAACTCATTCACCCCCACTGGTCTGTCAGCTAAGAGCTGGTTTCAGACTGCACTGGGACCTGGGTTTATTTTAAGAAAAAAAAATGTATTTTGCGTGCATTTTTATTGGGACCAACAAATATAAATCCAATTTCTTACATGTGTCTTTTTCTTTTTTGGTGTGTCTTCCAGACAAGTTGATGCACATCTGTCTCAATCACTTGTTGACTGAAATATTGAGAGCACACTAATTTGCAGCACAGTTTCCCAGGGGGAGAGCAGCCAGCTTTATTTATTTTTTATGTCCCTGTTTATTTATTTATCACAAGGTATAATAACAGCCTCGCAAGAGATTTGTCATCCTTCGACAAAGAGTCAATGCATCAGATTTGTCATCCTTCTACAAAGAGTCAACACGGACATGCCCCCACCCAGGCATTCATCTGCAAACCTCGGCTTTCTGTGTGCTGCACCACAGAAAGAGAGGAAGGTGCATGCACCAGGCCCATCCCGCACAGAGGCCACGCGGGACTGAATTACACGGAGGTGCGTGGTTAAAGATCACTGAAGAAATCAATGCGGAACACAGCACAGAAAGCGAGCAGTTTCAATTCCAATTCTCAGGGCCCTTGGGTAGCAATGACACCTGCGGTTGGGTAATTTTTAGAGAAAGGTGGTTTCTGTAAAGGTAATTGCATTTGCCCTAACGAAATTTGGCCTTATCAGCAATTGGCTAGTCGTTTAAAAAAGAAAAAAAAAAGAAAAACACAATCACAGACCCCAGGTATGCCAGGCAGGCACGATGCTGCTATTTAATGAAGTTATTTGGCAAATGCAACACTGCACTACGGCAGGAACGGGAACACTCTGTGC